ATACCTGAGGTAATCTAGTTAAAAGGAAGAAAGGTTTCATTTAGCTCATGGGGCCAGTTGGCCCCACTGCTTTATGGGCCAATCGTGAGGCAGAATGTCATGATGCAGAGTGGGTGCTGGAGCAGGCCCTGTTCACCTCACCAACCTGGGAAGCAGAGACAGACCAGCCGCGATTAGGCCACACCTCCTGTGGGGGGCTTCCTCTAGCTAGGCCCCATCTCTTAATTCCACATCCTTCCAATTCCAGCATGGGCTGAGGGTCGTTTGTTTTTTTTTCCTTTTTTTCTTTTTTTAACTCAGAGACTGGTTTTGAATCGAGATTCTGAGAACTCAGTCTCCTAAGTAGCCAGGATTATAGGCCTGACACACCAGTGCCTGGTTTATTTCTGTTTTCCAGTTCTCTCCTGAGATTCTCTCCTGAGCAGATAGCAAAGCCCCTCTGTCAGCTCTCCTCTGAGGCTGGATGGACTCTTGGTTCCAGGTTCCATTCCACAAGGCTTCAAAGGGTCAAGCCAGCTATTCACAGATGGGCTTTTTCCTAGCCAGAAAAGATTATTCTTGTACTCCTGAGCTTTATTAAAACCTCCATCAACTGATATGTCTGAGTCAAACTGCTGGCCACTGGCCTCTAGACTGCTAGGGTTTTGAATTGGGGTCAACAAGTCCTAATGCTCTGTCCTGGAGGGAAAAAACAAAATGCTTCTGTCTTTGCCAGCAGCCCACACAGCATGACTGGCATGTGCCAGTTTTCATTCTGGCAAACTCTGTGCGAGGGCACAGAATGGGCTCATCCTCAACCTAGTTGCAAACCTCTTGTATATCTTAGGTTGCCCACCCTAGCCCAGGCAAGGAACTGAGGTGGTCTTCAGGAAGGAGACAATCCCTGGTCCATCAATTCATCTTTCTCAGCCATGACTTTTAGTCTAGACAGTCTGAAGCTTCATGTGCACCAGAGTCCCTAGGGGTCCGTTGAAATTCAGATCTGTCTGCCTCCACTGTTCATGTTTTCACAAACTTGGTGTAACTCATTTTACAGCAGAGGAAATTAAGAGTTCAAAGACGCGTCGCCAAGGGGTGTCAGAAGTGCACTGAGAGTAGTGTGTGGTCTGATAGCACCACCTGGTGGCCTCTCTGAGAACTTCCCCCTTAGCCACCTGGGAAAACTAAGAAGGAAGCCGCCTGAGCCCCCTTGCAGTTAGGAATTACACATCCCACCCCACGTACGCCCAGAGTAACAGCCCACTCTCAATTAACACTAGTAAAGTGTTTAGATTGTTTTGTCCAACACAAACATAGTGAGCCAACATCCAACTTAAAATCTTCTAGAAACTGCATTTTAAAAACAAATGAAATTTTCTCTTACAAATTTAAACCCAGTGACCAGCATACTGCAAAGCCTATCATGTATTTCTTTTTTTTTTTTTTTTTTGGGTCCGGTCATGGGGCCTGAACTCTGGGCCTGGGCGCTGTCCCTCAGCTCTTCAGCTCAAGGCTAGCGCTCTACCACTTGAGCCACAGCGCCACTTCCGGCTTTTTTCTTTTTGCTTATGTGGTGCTGAGGAATCGAACCCAGGGCCTCATGCATGCAAGGCAAGCGCTCTACCACTGAGCCACCTTCCCAGCCCCATGTATTTCTTATATTTAGAAGTTATTTGTCCCAATATGGCTTGTTTCTATCTTGCCTGAGGCTGTATTACACTAGCCCAGTGAAGTGGTCCCTGTGGTTGGTACCAGACACTTCACAAAGATGAAAATATTCACTATCTAGGACCCCCTGACTTAACCTATCTATCCAGGTGTGCTGATTTCAACACATGATTTTTTCTGGTCCTGGGGCTTGAACTCAGGGCCTGTGTACTATCCCTGAATTCCCTCTCTTCCCCCCACAAAAAGCTGGTACTCTTCCACTTGAGCCACAACTCCACTTCTAGCTTTTTGGTAGTTAATTGGAGATAAGACTTTCAAGGGCTTTCCTGCCTGGGCCAGCTTTGAACTGTGATCCTCATATCTCAGCCTCCTGAGTAGCTAGGATTATAGATGTGAGCCATCCGTGCCCAGCTATGATTCAATTGAATAATAATTAATGAGATACTTCACATTCTTGTCAGACAAGCCTTGAAATGTACCTTTTTAAAAAATCATTCCAAGTGCCAAAGTGGATCGATAAGACACGTATGTTGTTAAATGTTCGATGACACACGAAGGTCCTAGCTATTGAATCCGTGAGTGCTTAGAGCCACCTCAGGAACACTCTACAGGTGGTCACTAGATACATGAAGAATCCCTCCATCCCTCCTTAGCTGGCTACCTGGAGAGAATTAAATCCCTGTATTGAATCTACCTCTTTTCTCCAGAATGGTACTAGCCCTACAGTGCCACCCTGGAATAGCAGAGAAAACAGCCAGTCAGATCGTTTTTGGAGTGTCTGATATTTGTTTGTAAAGCCTACACGGGGGCAGCTGTGTCTTCTAAGCAGCTGAGCACACGGGGCTGATGAGATCATGATGTGTAATTCACATGTCCAGAGCCAAGCACTGACGAAGCAAAAGAAGTTTCATTTGTGCCCCAGAGGTGTCCTCTTGCTTCAACACAGCACTTCTCAATCCATTCTGAGAGCCCAAGATCTGCCCCCTTAGGCCCCAAGATTCCACCCTAGGCCTGGCTACATCAATATTTATTGCATTCAACCAAATGACTCCCAGAGAACCCAACAAGATGTTTGGTATTCAGTTAATCAAGTAGTCAGGCCTGGTAGCTCGGGCCTAGAACATCAGCTGCTCGGAAAGTAGAGGTGAGAGAGCGTTGCAGTTTGAAGCTAGCAAAGGCAAAAAGTCAGACTGCATCTCAACCAATAAGCCGGGTGCGGTCATATACAACTGAGATCCCAGGTGCATGTCAAGGCCAGAGGTAGGAAGATTGGATCCAAAGCTGGACTTAGGCAAAAACATGAATCTGAAGGAGGACTGTGGGTAAGGGCCTAATGGTAGAGTGGCTGCAAGTGTGAGGTCTTGAGTTCAAACCCTTCACTGCTAAACACTAAAAATAATCCCATCTGCTCTGGCATTCGAGGCGACCACGTGTGTTTCAGAAGAACCCATTTCCATGGGAGCCCCTTGCAAGTTCTCACTCAAAATGGTTGGCAAGGCTGACTAGAGAAAACCAGGCCAGTTGGTTGTATTTGGAGTTCTAAGGGTCTAAGGCCTCTGTGAGGTTGCAGGCGGAGGAACAGAGCAGTAGGGACCTGGAGATTTCCTCCGGGGGTGATCCTCTAAGTGCTACTCTTTGTCTAGACTGAGGGTTTGCCCTTTTAGCCAGGCAGGGATGGTTTGCTTCAGCAAGGCCTACCCACTAGCATTGTGGTCTGGCCAAGAGCTGAGCCCTTTGAGGATGATGATTTGGGCTCCTTCCATGCTGGGGCTTCTACACAATGAGATGTTACAGGCTCTCGGGGCCATCTTTTATGTGTCTGGGGTTTTGCTTGAGAACCCTTTCCAAGGTGAGAAGGAAACCTAGCAAGTTGGCCCCAGTAACCGAGAACTGGCAGCCGGAAGGGAGGTGTGATGGTTTTGTGTTCCTCCAAGAAGGTACATCATCACGGCCACTGGCTCAGAACATGCCATGATTTGGAAAGAAAGTCATTGCAGACAAGAGGTCATATTGAGTGACATGAGTACCCTAATCCCACGTGATTGGAAGATGGCATGTGAAGACCATGTTTAGTTTTATTATTTTGTGCCAGTACTAGGGCTTAAACTTAGGGCCCGGACACTGTCCCACAGACTGTTTGCTCAAGACTTGTACTCTGTCCCTTGAGCCACAGCTCCACTTCTGGCTTTTTTTAGTGGTTAATTGGAGATAAGGGTCTCATAGACTTTCTACACTAAGCTGGCTGAGGACCATAATCCTCAGCTCTCAGCCTCCTGAGTTGCTACGATTACAGGTGTGAGCCACCAGTGTCCAGTGCCCAGGAAAGACCACCATGTAGATGCAAGCTACGGAGTACTAGAGTTCCAGCAAGCCACCAGATGCCTCCATAACTGTCACAGGGGACACAGCCCTGATACCATGTTGATTTTTGAACCCCTTGCCTCTAAACCTGATATAGTGAACTTCTGTTGTCTTATCCCAACCAGGTATAGTAGCCAGAGAAAATGAACACAGGAGGAGGTGATGTTGAGTTTAAGGTGGTGATTATGCCTAGAATTCATCCACAGGGCAACCAGTGGCTACACCAGGCTCTGGAACAGAGATGATCTTGCTGTAAGGGCATCTTTTCCTCTCTTCTTGGGCTTCTGGTTAGAGGACACAATCCAGCCATCTCCCACCTAGAAGTCATGTGACCAGGCAAGGCAGGGGGTGGGGGGAAACAGCCTCTCTTCTGACTGGCATGAGGGAGGGTATCCACAGAACATCACATGAGACCGTGGTAGAAAAATGACAACTTTGTTGGTGTAAGAAACTGAGGTTTCAGGGGTGTTTGTTACAGCAGCAAGGGAGCTTTGGCTAACCTCTAAGAAGTGAGAAAAGCAACAACTTGCAAAGGAAGCTACTTCTTAACTGTAAACTACACTAGGACCACACAAACCCGGCTAGGAATCCCTTCAACAAGATGCAGGGACATAAAGAAGAGGGAGAGATTTACTTCCCTTAGCATCTTGAGGACTTAGCAAGTCCCTCTCTTATCCAAGCCTGCTGATAGAGCTTTGAGAACCCCCCTGCCCCCGACCTGGGGTCCCCAGGAAAGGATCAGGCCCACACTTGCTAGTGAGGGTGGGGCTTGGGTAGTTCTGGAGCAGGAGTGGAGGTTTGTGCACAGAGACATGAGCCCCAGGGAGCGGCCAGTACATCTTCCAGGCATGCTTGCCCTCCCTCCTACCCAACTCCTGCAGCCAAGGGGGCAGAGCTCAACCAAACGCAGAGCAAGGTGAGGCCGGCTAGCTCCGTCTTCCTCTAGAGAGTCCCGGTGGAGCCCCCAGAAAGGACAGCCACCGCCGCCCAGTTCACATGACCTGGTCTGTCCGCCGTGGAAGGTTGAAGGCGCCATTTGTGGTGTAGAATGACTTGGAGATGGGATGGACTCTGGCATAAGTTGGTGTCCTGAAGTTCTTCATGACAGGCCCTGAAACACAGCGGAGGCTGTGAGCGAGGCTCACCTCCTCCTGCCAGGACCCCGTCTCCCAAAGGCCTGCAGGGTTGGGGGGGCAGCAGAGACACACTGCTATGACTAGAGGACACTTTCAGAACCCCGGAATGGCACTGTCCTCTTAGTCTCCCACCCCTGCCTCAGTCTCCCCACATCTGTGATCCAATAACTAAAAGCTAATGCGGAGGCAGGGGTAGCTCAGGAACGCCAAGGCTCCCCGGGAACACCAGGCCCAGGATCATGCAGCGCTGCTCTTTCCAACCTTGTCTCACCCTAGCCCAGGCTCACTCATCTCTCATCATCTTCCAGCCATGGTCAAGACCCGGCCCATCCCACTGCTCCACATGGAAGACCTCCAGGTGTGCCCCAGGCTATACTAGCTCCTAGAGTGCCCATTGGCTGCAAAGCCTGCCTGTGGAGGCAATAGTAAGACTGTTTGTAATATCGGTTACCATTTGTAGCCAGGCATTGGGCTCTTGCTGTCTTTCTATATGAAAGAGGTACTTTTTGCTGAGCATGTTGAAAAGATAATGCCTGGAAACCTGTTTGCATCCTCTGGGAGGATGTAACTGGGGTAGGAGGAGATGCTCGGTCATTTGTTCCCCATCAGACACGCCCCCTCTCCATACACACCTCAAATTAGGGTTGTAAGGTAGCAGGCTTATAGAGTATTCTGGAGATTCGGGGAGCAACTGTAAGCTAAATAGAACTCTGGAGGACCCCAGTCTCCTTGTCGCTGCTGCAAAGCGGTGAAGGCCCTAGCAGTCAAGAGTATGGAGTCAGCCCCGCCCCCCCATGTGACCCTGACCAGTGACTAGGCCGCTTGTCACAGGTAGAATGGCCGTTACCTCCAAATTCCAGATGATGACAAATGACTTTTAGTATATGTTTCATGCATACTTAGGGGTTTTCTCTTACTGAAAAAAAAATGTTACCTAATCTCAAGGGAGACAAGGCAGCTAGTGGCTCATGCCTGTAATCCTAGCTACCCAGGAGACTAAGATCTGAGGATCAAGGTTCGAAAATCTATCCAGACAGGTGCTGGAGGCACATGCCTATAATCCTACTTAGGAGGCTGAGATCCAAGGATCGAGGTTCAAAGCCAGCCTGGGCAAAATAAATAAATAAATAAAACTCCAGGAGACCCTCTCTAACCATCAGAAAACTAGAAGTGGGGCTGTGGCTCAAAGTGGCAGAGCACTAGCCTTGAGCAAAAAAGCTCAAGGACAGTGCCCAGACCCTGAGTTCAAGCCCCATGACTAACCAAAAGCAAAAACAAACAAAAAACAGGCAGACAAATCCAAGAGACTTGTATTTCTAATCAACCAGCAAAAGGCCAGAAGCAGAGACAAGGTTCAAGTAGAAGAACTCTAGCCTTGAGCAAAAATGCTAAATGAGAACGAAAGGTCCTGGGTTCAAGTCCTAGTACTTAACACTAGAGATGAGAGATGAGACAGACAGAAACTTACGAGTCCTGTCATTTCACTTGCTAGGTCTGTTACCTACTGGAAGACACAGACAGAGACCTGTGGGTGAGGGAGGAGAGGAAGACATCCCGTGGGGCCTACACTGAGACTTGCTCTGTGTAGTAGATGCTTCCCCGCTCACTACTCACAAGTCCCCTCCCCGACCACACACCTACCGGGGCAGATCCCCTGTGCTCACAGTCCTGTCCTGATTTCTCATCTATAGTCCTGATTTGTTGTTGTTGTTGTTGTCAGTCCTGGGGCTTGAACTCAGGGACTGGGCACTGTTCCTGAGCTCGTTAGCTCAAGGCCAGTAGACTACCACTTTGAGTCACAGCCCCACTTCAGATTTTCAGGTGATTAATTGGAGGTAAGAATCGCACAGAGGGGCTGGGAAGGTGGCTCAGTGGTAGAGCGCTTGCCTAGCATGCATGAAGCCCTGGGTCGATTCCTCAGTACCACATAAACAGAAAAAACTGGAAGCGGTGCTGTGGTTCAAGTGGTAGAGTGCTAGACTTGAGCAAAAGAAGCTCAAGGACAGTACCTAGGCCCTGAGTTCAAAGTCACAGGAATGGCATGAACCATGATCCTCTGATTTCAGCCTTCTGAAGAACTAGGATTACAGGTGTGAGCCACCAGCACCCAGCTTTAGCCTGATTCTTAAAGACTGTAGGACAGCAGTAGTAGCTGCCCCTCCCTGTTACAAGGTGCGTGCTGCATGGGAGCCTGCCTTTCCACAAGGCCCCACTGCTTCCTGTGCACCGAAAAGTCTGAAAAGCAGATCCCTCCCCCCCCCCTTCCCTCAGTACTATGTCATGTAATCTGCTTTTGTCTCCAGGAGCAAAAGGTGCTGGACACATATCAGACTTGCGTGTGTGTGTGTGCGCGCGCACGCGCATGTGTGTGCATGTGTATGTGCGTGCATGCATGCATGTGTGTGTTTGTGTCTCCATACTAGGGATTAAACTCAGGGCTTCCTGCTCCTGCTTGGCTTTTTCACTCAAGGCTGGTGCTTTATTACTTGAGCCACACCCTGACTTCCAGCTTTTTTGCTGGTTAATTGGAGACAAGTGTCTCATGGACTTGACTGCCCAAGCTGTATTCAAACTTCAGTTCTCAGATCCGTCTCCTGAGTAGCTAGCAGTACAGGCATGAGTTACTGTCTCTTGGCTCAATAACGTTTACTGAATGGATGAATGAATCTATAAGAATTCCAACCCAAGCCTCTTGGTTTCAGACTGAACCATTCCCCGCCCCCCCCCCAAAATCTGTTGGTTGCTAAGGCCCAGAGAAGTTAAGGTACTTACTTGCCTGAGGTTACCCAGTTCAGAAGTGGTAGGATTAGGATTTGAACTCATACCTCCTGATTCCGAATCAAGGTGTCATTCTCAAATCTTTGTTCATACATTTGTTCATTCATACCATAATCTCAAATTGGAAACTGAGAGGACCTGCCTAAAGTTTACAAAGAAATCCTGGAGCCCAAAAGTTCTCTGGAATTGGGATAGAGTCGGTTGTATACTCTTATGGACTGGAAAAGCTACAGAATCTGCTGAGGACATGGTAAGAAATTCAGTCGGGCAAAGGGAGGGGCAAGTGAAGAGGACCAGACAGACGATGCACAGGCCTACAAGTGAGAAGATTCCTGGCCTGTTTTGGGGGTGTTGAGCTAGTTCCATGCATTGAAAGAGAAATGATAAAGGAAGAGGCCAAGGTGGAGGGGGCAGGGGGGAGGCGCCTGGAATGGCAGGAGGGTTGTGGCCTTACCCACGTGCCAGCCATATTCCCAGGATGACAAGATGGGGTACTGGAACCTCTCCATTGGTGTCTGTTGGTATCGCTCTTTGAAGTATTGAGCTCGGCCTTGGCCGTCATAGGAGACGCCTTGGTACAGAAGCTTCAGAGTGCTGGAGGGGACTGGCTTCATGAGAAAGTCCTCTTGCTTTCTTTGCTCTGCTAGCTTGTGTGTGTCTTCTCTAGCCTGCCCAATCCTGTCTCCCTTGGGTGGGTGGCCTTGGACACTCCTTGGTTTGGGCAGCTGGTGCTGGATCCTCTGGGTTTCTGGTGGACCCAACTGTACCTTCTTGCAGCCGGGATGCACTGGGTCCACTGGCAAGGATGCGTTCAAAGGAACCTGCCAGGTATCTCTCTTTGCCTTGGTCCTGTCCTTCAGGTACTGTTGGCCATAGCGGATTCTCCAGTTGGCCCTAATGGCAGCCTCCTTCTGGATTCGCTCCTGCCAACAGTTCTGGGCCTGGGTAATAATCAGATCCCTCATGGCTAGGGTGGGAAGAAAGAACAATGCTTCCTATAGCTCTGAGGCCTGTGTTTGAGGGCTAGTGTCTGTCTCCAAGGAAACGAGTAGCCAATGAGAGCCAGGTTGCTAAGGTTCTGCTGGAGTGGAGGGGCTGGGCTAGTGAGGGGACACACACAGGCAGGACTAATTAGGCTGGAATAGGGGGACAGAATATGGTCACAACCTGCCATGGGTACTTGGCAGGGAAGGCCTGCCCATACCGAGGGAACTGGGCCTGGGGTGTCACCTTCAAACCTAAAGTTCCCTTAGGGCAAGGGGGTACAAGGAGCCACAGCCTCTAGTCCACACAGTGGACCTTGATGTGCACCCATCAGAATGCACCAGGAAGCCAGGAGGGTCCAAAAACAGGCCCACTCTCCACCTGTGGGTAGGTCCATGGCTGAGGCTTTGCCATAGTAACTCTGCTGCAGTGATGCTCACTGCTCAGCTCTGCCACTGCTAACTCAACGGCCTCGTCTAGATACAGATGGCAGCAGGTGTGTCCATTAATGTAGGGAGTGTGAAGTTCAATAGCGTACGCAGTATATGGAGCAGAATCTGGCCTAGTGGGCATGTTCCATCAACGTCAGCTATGGTTTGACAAGATGGAGGTGCACATAAGCAGAGATATCACAATGAAATTCCCCTTGGACAGCTAAGCTATGCTAATAATCATAATTGATCATTTTTTTGGGGGGGGGGTCTGGCCGTGTAGCCTGAACTCTGGGCCTGGGCACTGTCCCTCAGCTCTTCAGCTCAAGGCTAGCGCTCTACCACTTGAGCCATAGCGCCACTTCCGGCTTTTTTCTTTTTGCTTATGTGGTGCTGAGGAATTGAACCCATGGCCTCAGACATGCAAGGCAAGCGCTCTACCACTGAGCCACCTTCCCAGCCCCCTGGAGTTCACTTCTATAAATATTATATGATCAGATGCACATAGGCATTGTGCTTTGTGCTCTTCTCTTAAGAATATCCTCCTTTGATCTTACTGTGTGAATGCCTGGAATCCTGTATATTTTATCATGTCCCAATGTATTTTTATCTAGTTTCCACATGAAAGAAAACATGAGTCATTTGTCTCTCTAAGCTTGGGTTGCCTCACTTAACATGATTTGTTCTAGGTCCATCCATACATATAATTGGTCATGGGGCTTGAAGTCTGGGCCTGGGAACTGTCCCCCAGCTCTTCAGCTCAAGGCTAGCACTCTACCACTTGAGCTACAGTGCCACTTCCAGTTTTCTGGTGGTTTATTGGAGATTAGAGTCTCACGGACTTTCCTGCCCAGGCTGGCTTTGAACCATGATCCTCAGATCTCATCCTCCTGAATAGATAGGATTATAGGCTTGAGGCACTGGCACCCAGCTGATATCATATATTTTTTTAATCCACTCATCTATTGTAGGACATCTGGGCTGTTTCCATAGCTTGGCTTTGTGAATACTGCAGCAGAGAACATGGATGTGCAAATGTCTTAAGGTATCCTCACTTGTGATGTTCTGGGTAGGTGCCCAGGAGTGGTATGGCTGTGTTCTAGAGAAGGTCTATGCTTGAAACCTTTTAAATTTGATGCATGCTTGTCAGTTGTTTTCTGAGCAATTGGAATCTCATTTGGAAAATAATTTCCTATGTCCTTATCTTCCAGAGTTTTCTCTATACTTAACTATATTAAATTTTAAGTTCTTACTTTTTGAGTCATTTGGAAGTGATTTTTTTTTTTTGATCAGTTGTGGGGCTTGAACTTCAGGCCTGGGCACTGTCCCTCAGCTCTTCAGCTCAAGGCTAGCACTCTACCACTTGAGCCACAGCGCCACTTCCGGCTTTTTTCTTTCTTTCTTTCTTTCTTTTTTTTTGCTTATGTGGTGCTGAGGAATTGAACCCAGGACCTCATGCATGCAAGGCAAGCGCTCTACCACTGAGCCACCTTCCCAGCCGCTGGAAGTGATTTTTGTAAAAGGTGAGATATAGGTCCAAGATTTAGTCTCTTGCAAGTGAATATCAAGTTTTCCCAGCATAATTTTTTTTAAAGAGGTCATCTTTTCTCCAGTATATTTTTCTGGCTCCTTTGATTTTTTTTTTTTTGTTGTCAGTTACAGGGCTTAAACTCTGGGTGCTGGCCTGGGCGCTGTCCCTCAGCTCTTCAGCTCAAGGCTAGCACTTTACCACTTGACCCACAGCCTCACTTCTGGCTTTGTCTGTTTATGTGGTGCTGAGGAATCAAACCCAGGGCCTCATGCATGCAAGACAAGCGCTCTACCAGAGCCACCTTTCCAGCCCTGCTCCTTTGATTTTTGAGGGTTTGTTTTATATCTTGCTACATTTATAAGGTGTTTATCAGATCTAAGAAGGTTGGTTTCATTGTTATTGTTGCTGTTTATTTGTTTTTTGTGCTGGTCCTAGGACTTAAACTCGGGGCCTGGACACTGTCCCTGAGCTTTTGTACTCAAGGCTAGTGCTCTACAACTTGAGCCAGAGCTCCACTTCTGGCGTTTTTGGTGGTTAATTGGAGATAAGAGTCTCATGAACCTTCCTGCCTGGGCTGGCTTTGAACCATGATCCATAGGCATGAGCTACTAGCAACTGATCTAGAAGTTTTTTGGTGGAGTCCGTAGGGTCTGAAGGAGAGGATCATATCATCTTTAAGTAGGGGATAATTGGACTTTTATCTTCCCTATCTGAATTTTTTTTCCTTCTTTCTTTCCTTCCTTCCTTTCTTTTCTTCCTCTTTCTCCTTTTCCTGCCTTATTGCTCTGGTGGAGAATTCCAATGCCATAAAGATTTTTTTTTTTTTTGAGACAGTCTCACTGGGTGATCCTGGCTCATCTCAAACTCACAATCCCCTGCTTCAGCCTCTGAAATGACAGGCCTGGGCCACCATGCCCAGTTTATAGCCTCATTACTGGTGTGGAGATGTTTCAGGGCCCACTGTCAGTAGGTGGAGTTAGGCAGGCCGCAGACAGGGAGTTTTACTGCACTCTCTCACTTATTACAGAAATGTACAAGAAGGCCATCCAATATCACTTTTCCAGATGGAAACAGAGGCTCAATAATGTTAAATGGTTGCCCTGGGATCGACCACAGTATCAGTCAAGACTTTTGGTGTGACAAGATACCCAAGAGAGCAACTAAAGGGAGAAAAAACTTATTCTTTATTCTTTACCTCATAGCAGAGAGGAAGCAGAAAAGCTAGGAGGGGACAAGGGCAAGATACAGATACCAATGATAAGCCTCCAAGTAACCTACTTCTTCTTCTTTTTTTTTAATGGTACTGTCCCTGGGGCTTAAATTTAGGGCCTAAGCACTGTCCCTGAGCTTTTGTGCTCAAGGCTAGCACTCTACAACTGACAGCCCTACTTCCAGCATTTAGGAGGTCAATTGGGAGTCTCATGGGCCTTCCTGCTGGGGCTGACTTCAAACTGTGATCCTCAGATCTCAGCCTCCTAAGTAAGCTAGGATTACAGGCGTGAACCATCAACACCCAGCTTCCCTTCTTTTTATCTAGGCCCCACCTCCTGCTTTTATCACTCCACACTCTCCCCAGCTCCCAACCATGCCATCACGCTATAAATCCAAGCAATCCTTCCATTGGTTAGGTCATCATCCTCAGGAACCAATCATCTCCCAAAAGCCCATGCATTGGCAACTGAGACCTCAGGAAATGAGCCGGTAGGGAATATTACATATTCAAATCATAACATGCTGCCCCAGTCCCCAAAAGCCCAAATCTGTCTCATAATGGACAATGCATTCGATCCATCTCCAAGAGTCCCTGTGGTCTTAACGGTTTCAGAATGCTACCAAAGTCCAAGTTCAAAGTTTCCCTTAGAGATCCAAGGTAAACTCATAGCTGTGAGTCTGTGTAAAATCAAACCCAATTTATATTGGTTATATTTATATTGGTTATAGTGGTACAAAGTAAACGTTCCCATTCCAAACAAGAAGAATGGATACATACAGAAAAGGATGGGACCAAGGTAAGTCTGAAACCCAGCAAGACAACTGTTTGTGTGTTTGTGTGTGCGTGCGCACACCAGTCATAGGGCTTGAATTCCTGGCCTGACTGCTATCTATGAGCTGTTTTGCTAAAGGCTAGCTAGTATTCTACCACTTGAGACACAGCTCTACTTCTTGCTTTCTTTGGTAGTTAACTGGAAATAAGAATCTCTTGGATTTTCCTTCCCTGGGGCTGGCTTGGAACCATGATTCTCAGATCTCAGCCTATTGAGTAGCTAGGATTACAGGTATGCACCACCAGTACCTGACTCCACATGGCCTCTCTTTGGTGCTTATAAAAGGGACTTAAAAACTATTTGTGCTAAAAAGCACTGGCTCCTTTTGGTCTCTCTGCTGCCATTCTACAACTTTCCTCTGAGTCTTTCTCTCTTGCATCACTCTCTTGCAGTTCAGGAAGGACAAGACCAATCGATAACATCTTTAAGATGAGGGATGAAGCTACTTTCAAGGAAAGAAATATGAGAGACTCCACAAAACAGATCATCCCCTCAGACAACAATGCGTTTCTTATCACGACCAGGCGCCGGGGCTGCTTGACCATTCCAAGATAGTAATCAACCAAACTATATATTTGTCTGGGCCTCTAATAATTATGCATACCTCTTGCTCCTTGCTCCAATTCTTTATCTAAATCTTTATAGCATTAGTTCATGTCTGTATCTTTTTTAAAATATAATTTTATTATCACTGTTTTATGTGGCACTGAGGAATCAAACCCGGGGCTTCATGAATACTAGGCAAGCACTCTACCACCAAGCCACACTTGTATCTTAAAGATGGGCTGAAGTGCATTCTTTGCCTCTTCCACAGGGTGTCCATGCCTTGTACAAATCTCCTTTCTCTGTGTTTCATGTTATTCACCTACTTGTTTGATGCAATTGGTGGGAATGGCCAGACCTGACATGGGGAGCCACTGGAGATAGGCCTCTACCCTAGAACTCTGTTACTTGCTGGCTTTGTTGCCTGCCTG